TTTTAGAGTCCGAAAGCCGGATGAAGGTCTCCATTATTCACATATTGATACTTAAGAGGCTCGAGTTCAACATCTAGCAGCTGAAGTAGGGTTTCTATGCGGCCAATGCGCAGCTACTGTCTGCCGGACTATGACATGGCAGGCGAGAGGCATCGTCAGCCAGCTTTGGCACCGCCTCCACGCGGACAGTGCAGCTCATTTCTGACAAGCCAGCGTTAGATTTCTTGCTATGGAAGAGCTGGAATACTTGGTGTCTGGACTTGCTCTTTATTACTGACAAGGAAAAGACCAATAGTTGTTTGTTAATACTGGAAGTGAACGGCTCTGTTCATACTCATGTTCATGTTGTGACCACTGTCAGTAACTTTTGACTGGTGGTTCCAAAAAATCATAGTCTCTGGTCTAAGACAGTGTGAGAAGTGATATATCGCTCGCTCTGATCATAATTGAATGTACTACTAAGTAGCTTGCGAGGATGACTTGAGTGGTTTGTGCATCTGCAGATATATATACCCTTTTTGGCATCAGATCCGGAGTACTTCATAAATGACTCCTATCGGCCCGAGATCTACAATACGGATAGGTAGTACTCAAAAGAATTACCTTAAATATCCCAAAGAGCTACTCCAAAGAAACTACTCCTATCAATAATAAACTATTCTGTCTTTACCAGGTCGACATAACAGCTGTTCACCGATCTGGCTGATCCACACGTGACATTGGTGTTAGTCAGCAGTCTAGTCCCGCCGCCGAACTTCACCTGATGTTCTCTGATATTTTCGCCTCAAGGACGTCACTTCCCTTCACCACCAAGCTTGCTGTCATCGTTTTGTCCGATCCGGATGTAGCTGCCTTGACCCCTATCTGGGAGTGTCTGTCAAAAATCTCACACTTGGGATCTCCTTAGCTGCCAACATGTCTGACGGTATGATGCTTCCCCCCCCCCTCCCCCCAGCCCCCTCTCTCAAACCGCCGTTGTCCTCCGGCCCTGACTGACCGCCCCTTTTCTAGCTGACTTTGAAGCCGTTCGTCGGCTCCAAGCTGAGCGCAATGCTGCTGCAGCTGGAAGTAAAGGTTCTAGGACCTTTGATCCGTCTAGCCAGCGCACTGACAACTCGACCAAGGCCTCCCTGACTGAATCCTTCGACACGACCCTCTACGAACGCGAAGGCGCCGACAAGTTTGCGGGATATGATACTTCGATTGCCGTTAACGGCGACGATGAGGAGATGGAGGATGCGGACGCAGGCCACCGCCTGGTGGGCCAGTACACTGCCACCCGGAGCCAGATCGATGAGTTCGCCCACGGCAACGGAGTGGAAGAGGAGGACATCCTTCTTGGGCGCGAGAAGGCAGCTAGGATCGCCGACCGTGAGACAGACTACCAAAAGCGCCGCTTCAACCGCGGCCCGCTGACTCCCACGCGCGCTGATCCCTTCGCTGCAAACACTCATGCCAACGTGGACGGGGAGGGGGAGGAGGGCCAGACTTATCGTGAAGTCATGGCCATGCGTGAACTTGAAAAAGAAGAAGAACGTGTCCAGAAGCTGATCGCAGAAAAGCAGGCCCGTGGAGAGAACGATGTCACCGAGCACGAGGCTACGCTCACATTGGAAGACAAAGAGAACGCCGACGCCGGCTCCACGGTGGCTGTCGCCTCGGGTCGCAAGCGCAAGCAGCGGTGGGATGTAGCTGCGGAGCCGGCTCCTGAGGAGGAGACTCCCAAGCCCGCTGAAGCTGCCGACACTAAGGCGAAGAGATCCCGTTGGGATCAGACGCCCGCCCCGGTTGCCCCCGGTGCCGCCGAGGATGCTCCCAAGCGTCGGTCCCGATGGGACCAAGCACCAGCACTTACGGCCTCGACCCCGGTCGGCAACCAAGGGCTTGCCACCCCCATGCATCCTTCCCAAGTAGGTGCACCTTTGATTCCAACTAGCTTTGGAACTGATATCTCTGGACGCAATGCTCCCCTGTCGGATGAAGAGCTTGATATGATGTTGCCGTCTGAGGGCTACAAGATTCTCGACCCTCCTCCAGGATATGCCCCGATCCGGAACCCTGCGAGGAAGCTTATGGCTACTCCAGCACCCATGGCCAGTTCCACTGGTGTTGGTGGTTTCATGATGCAAGAGCCTGAAAGTGCTCGTGCGCTGGGCAAACAGCTTCCAACTGAAATCCCCGGTGTCGGAGACCTTCAATTCTTCAAGCCTGAGGATATGGCCTACTTTGGCAAACTCATGGAAGGAGGTGACGAGAGCTCAATGACGGTCGAGGAGATGAAGGAACGGAAGATCATGCGACTCTTGCTGAAGGTCAAGAACGGCACGCCGCCGATGAGAAAGACAGCCCTGCGTCAGCTCACGGACAACGCACGGCAATTCGGCGCGGGGCCTCTGTTCAACCAGATTCTTCCCCTTCTTATGGAGAAGTCTCTCGAAGACCAGGAGCGCCATCTGTTGGTTAAGGTCATTGACCGTGTTCTTTACAAGTTGGATGATCTTGTTCGTCCCTATGTTCACAAGATCCTCGTGGTTATTGAGCCCTTGCTTATCGACCAAGACTACTACGCCCGTGTTGAGGGTCGAGAAATCATTTCGAACTTGGCGAAGGCGGCTGGTCTAGCCACCATGATCAGTACCATGCGTCCGGATATCGACCACGTTGATGAATATGTCCGGAACACGACTGCCCGAGCCTTCGCGGTTGTCGCTTCTGCTCTTGGCATTCCTGCTCTTCTCCCATTCCTTCGTGCTGTGTGTCGGAGTAAGAAGTCGTGGCAGGCTAGACACACAGGTGTCAAGATTGTTCAGCAAATTCCTATTCTCATGGGCTGCGCCATCTTGCCTCACCTCAAGGGACTGGTAGACTGTATCGCGGACAACCTTAGTGATGAGCAAGCTAAGGTGCGAACGGTCACTGCCCTGGCCGTCGCGGCTTTGGCTGAAGCTGCCAACCCTTACGGTATCGAGAGTTTCGATGAGATTCTCAACCCTCTGTGGACCGGCGCCCGGAAGCAGCGTGGTAAAGGTCTGGCTGCGTTTCTCAAAGCTGTCGGCTACATCATCCCCCTCATGGACGAAGAATATGCCAATTACTATACCAGCCAAATCATGGAGATTTTGCTCCGCGAGTTCTCCTCCCCGGACGAAGAGATGAAGAAGGTCGTTCTCAAGGTGGTGTCACAGTGTGCCAGCACGGATGGTGTGACAGCTAGTTACCTCAAAGAGCATGTTTTAACAGACTTCTTCAAGAGTTTCTGGGTGAGGCGTATGGCTTTGGATAGGAGGAATTATCGCCAGGTGGTGGACACAACGGTAGACCTTGGACAGAAGGTGGGAGTGGGTGAGATTCTCGAGCGTGTCGTAAACAACCTCAAGGATGAGAGCGAACCTTACCGGAAGATGACCGTGGAGACCGTGGAGAAGCTTATCGCAGCCCTCGGCGCCGCGGATATCTCAGAGAGACTGGAGGAAAGACTGATTGATGGTGTCCTGTATGCTTTCCAGGAGCAAAGCATTGAGGACATTGTCATCTTGAACGGATTCGGTACGGTAGTCAACGCCCTTGGCACGCGTTGCAAGCCTTATCTTCCCCAGATTGTCAGTACCATTCTCTGGCGGTTGAACAACAAGTCGGCCACGGTCCGGCAGCAGGCTGCAGACCTCATCTCCCGCATTGCCATGGTCATGAAGCAGTGTGGCGAGGACGCGTTAATGGGCAAGCTTGGTATTGTGCTTTACGAGTACCTGGGTGAGGAGTATCCCGAAGTGCTCGGTTCCATTCTGGGAGCCCTCCGATCTATCGTCACCGTGGTTGGTATCAACCAGATGCAACCGCCGATTCGAGATTTGCTTCCCCGCCTCACGCCTATCCTGCGTAACCGTCACGAGAAGGTCCAGGAGAACACTATCGATCTGGTTGGTCGTATCGCCGATCGTGGTCCCGAATCCGTCAACGCCAGGGAGTGGATGCGTATCTGTTTCGAGCTTCTGGACATGTTGAAGGCTCACAAGAAGGGCATTCGTCGTGCTGCCAACAACACTTTCGGTTTCATCGCCAAGGCCATTGGTCCCCAGGACGTGCTGGCCACGCTGCTCAACAACCTGCGTGTCCAGGAACGTCAATCGCGTGTCTGTACCGCTGTCGCCATCGGTATCGTGGCCGAGACTTGTGCGCCGTTCACTGTGCTCCCGGCTCTGATGAACGAGTACCGGGTGCCCGAGCTGAACGTGCAGAACGGTGTCCTCAAGGCCATGTCCTTCCTGTTCGAATACATCGGCGAGATGGCCAAGGACTACGTCTACGCGGTCACGCCGCTCCTCGAGGACGCCCTGATCGACCGCGATCAGGTGCATCGTCAGACGGCCGCCAGCGTGGTGAAGCACATCGCGCTGGGCGTCGTGGGCCTCGGGTGCGAAGACGCCATGGTCCACCTCCTGAACCTGGTCTTCCCCAACATCTTCGAGACCAGCCCCCACGTCATCGACCGGGTCATCGAGGCCATCGACGCCATCCGCATGGCTGTCGGCACGGGAACCGTCATGAACTACGTCTGGGCCGGCCTGTTCCACCCCGCTCGCAAGGTCCGCGTCCCCTACTGGCGCCTCTACAATGACGCGTATGTGCAGAGCGCAGATGCTATGATCCCATACTACCCCAACCTCGAAGACGACGGGCTGGATCGCTCCGAATTGTCCATCATCGTTTGATTTGATTCCCCCCCACCTTCTCAAATCTCGACCTCTTTCTGTCCGCCGTGGTTCATGTATTCAAACAATTTGGTTCTAGCTTTCACTGGGCTACTTCTTTTCCATCATTTCCATCATCATTTTCACCTTTCAGCATCAATCATATCACACTGGGGACCTGTTCACTATTACGGTGTTTGCCGAGGCTGGATTTGGCGTGTTCTCTTTTTTTTTTTTTTTCTCTTGTCGTGTTATCGATTCTTTTATGTGGGAGAAATCAGTCCAATGGCATTTTTAAACATCTTATCAACGTTCAAGTTCAATGGTCAGAGTTTAGCACGTAGTACATGGAAGCTGTCTGGGTTTTCCGTCTACGTAATGCCTTAGACGGTGGTGACACTGCGAAGCGACCATAGTTGGCTTACCAGGGACCTCCAGGCCGACTCCTCGGGGGAAATGATATACTGTCGACCATGGGAAATGAAGGGGTGAAGTATATTATCATATCAGATCATGTCATGTGATCGCCACAACCATCATCACCGTTCGATTCTCACTCCATGTCCCAATAAGAACCCGTATCACGCCAAACTTCCCGTCTCAATCGCCGCCTCCATCATGCGATCCCCATTCACAATGCCCGTCGAACAGATGATAATGCGGCGCCGGGACGCCTCCTGGGCGGCGATGAACCGCAAAGCGGCGATCTCGGTGAACGTGATGCCGCCCAGGAAGAAGACGTACACCGTCTTGATGGCGGGGGCGCCGCTGACGGTCTGACGGGCGCGCACGGCCTTGTCGTCGCCCTTCTGCACGAGGCTGAACGTCGCGCCGCGGGCGCTCTTGACCACGTCCTCGAAGCCCAGCCAGCCCGGCGAGGAGGTGGTCGCGCTGGCGGGGGCGGAGGTTGGAGTCGGGCTGGTCACGGGCCCGCCCCGCGCCAGGGAGAGCATGTAGGGCTTCTGCAGGACGCACTGGACCAGGCGGATGCTCAGCGGAGCGAAGCCGCTGTAGACGTAGGCGATGTCGTTGGGGTCCTTTTCGCTGACTTCCTCGACGACGAGGCGCAGGGTCTTGCGGAGGGTGTTGTAGTTGGTGCGCGGGCTTGTGTTGTGCTGGTGGTGGTGATGGGGGGAACCTCCTGTTGCGGCGGCAGTCGTGGTGGTGGGAAGGAGGGAGGTGGGGTTGGTGGAGGCACGGGGCTGAAGGAGTTGCATCTTCTCGAGGGCGCAGAAGGTCAGGATGTGCTGGTGGCCGTAGGCTTGGACAATCTGGCGCTTGAAATTCTCGAGGTCCCGTGGCCGGAGACCGCCGGACATGCAGGATTCGAGGCACAGGAGGCGCAGGATGGCGGGCAGGGCGACGTCGCGGGCGATGAGCTCCTCCACCGCGTCGTGGTGGTAGGTCGGGTCGGAGCCCGCGGCGTAGTTCTGCTGCACTTCCAGGAGCTTGCGGAAGATGTCGGCGCGGGTGGTGCGCATGATCTCCTCGGCGAGGTTGGTGTGCACGCGCAGGCTCTGGTGCTCGAGTTGGTAGGAGGGGAGCTTGTTGACGAACTCGCGCAGCTCCGTCGTGGTCTTGGCCGAGTGGCGGCTTTCGTAGTCGCTCTCGAGGCGGCGCGCGACTTTGTTGAGGATGTCGCCGACAATGGCGAAATTGGCGTCCCGCAGTTGGCTGAAGAGCTGGTCGGATGAGTCGAGTTGGATCTTGCGCTTCTGGTGCTGCTTGGAGGACGAGGGCTGTTGCGGGCCTTTAGAGGATTCCTGCGTTTGTGGAACGGTGGCCGCGCCGCCGATGATGGAGGTGTCGATGTCGGCTTGATTGTTCTTGATGCCGACTGTCTCGTCGACGAGGCCTTCGTAGGTCAGTTGAGTGAGGAGCGGGGTGCCGAAATCAACTTCCCGGTCGATGATGATGAGGCTCTCTGTGCTTGCACTGGGCAAGAGACCGCGGGCTGACACGCCGGCGAGCCCGGAGCTCTCTTCAGCGTCGAGCTCCTTTCTCATTCGGAGAAGCAGGTCAGCCAGTCGTCTTGCATGATCACCCTTGCCGATGATCCGAGGAAAGTAGCCGTGTCTCTGCTGAATGTCCATAAGGGCCTTCGCGGAGTGGAAGATGCATCCTGGGTCTTTGTGCTGCATGGATGTTGGTTACTTGGGCTTTGTGGAATAAATATGCTGCACCAGGCAAGCTTACCAGGTAGAGATCACTGAAGGCGTCCTCCATCTCTAGAGACAGGACATCCTGTTCCAGCGGCATGAAGTACAGCGAAAATTCGGCGATGTTCACGTCTCCGATTATGCCTGCTTCCTCGAGGATTGTGTTGCTTACAAGTGTCCGTCTTGGAACCCAGAAAATAGAGATCTCATGTTCAATGCTGCCATTGCGCTGGAGGCGCTTGACCTGTTCTAGTGGCATGTTAGCTCATACTGATGGCCTTCAATCAGACAAGTAGAAGAGAGAAAGCCTATGATTGAGCTGATATCTTCAAATGTGTTTGATATCGGGAGCGCGTGACTGGCTACGTAGAGTAGAGGGGAGTCTGCGCGCTTTACAGTCTGTCCCAAGCAAGAGTCTCCTGGGTAGAAGGAGTGATACCCAGCTTGTCTTACGAAACAGGTGTGCTGAGGGTGGTAAACAGGAATACATCGACATACCTGCCACAGCCCGCACTTGAGGAAGCTTCTCGGCGTTCGCTAAGAAGACGACATTGCGTTGAGAGGAGTCCACATTGCCATTTTCCAGTAGGAACACGCGATCTACACCGTACTCTTGAAGCAAAGAGAACTTGACGAACAGCCCGACTGGACCAGCCAGATCTTGACTGACGATGAGGTTCTTCTTACCGCGGACCTGCACCGAAGGATTCAGCTGATGTACATAGGCGACCAAAGGTAGAAGCAAGCCTTACTCACGCCTTCGAGGAGGGTCAACAGATCTCTACGCGCCTTGTCCTTGAAGTAGTCTGCATCAGACCCCGGGTACGGCGCCATGACTGCCAATGAGCATTACTGAGAAGGAGGAAGTTTTCGTTAAGATCGTTAAGTTGGTCAGTTGGTTAAGTTGGTTAAGTTGGTTGAGTCGGAGATCCGCGCGCGGACGTTTCCGGCGGGCGATGGTTTGGTTTGGGTTGGTTTGGTTTGGTTGGTTTGGCTGGATTTGGAGGAGGCTTGGAAGGGTCCAGCCACTGCACTAACCGTTGTAGGCTTAGTGGCAGCACAGCCTGTCACAGCTCTCCGGTACCGAGACCGTCATAACGGCCTTTATCCTTTCGAATAGCAGCCATAGCTGGTGTAACGAGATTACCCTCCGCCTTTTCCCCCTCCACCCCCCAATTCCAATTATAGTGCCTGAGGCGCTGCTGCTGCTCCCCTGAACGTTGCCTGCCTGTCTTTCGCCCCTCTTACATCCTTCTATCTCCTTTTCTTCTTTTCCCTAATTTTCCCTCTTACTCTACCATTATCTGTCCTTTTCGAGAAGCTGCTTTCTACCACTTGCTGGCCGTTCCGACAAATTGACATTCTTACCCTAAAACCCCCTCGACCACAGATCAACCGCCATGGGCAGGTTCGGCTTCAAAAAGTCCGGGGACGAGGACGATTCCTCCAACCGCCTGGCGCTGTTCGGCTCGCGGTCGAAGAGCAAGAGCCCAGCACCTCCCGCCAACCCGTACGCCAAACCCATCCCCACCGATCCCTACACGAAAGCCAAGATCCAAGCTGGCGTCGCCCCTCTTCCAGCTGGGGAGCAACCCGCCGCTCCGGCTCCTTCTGGCCCCGCCAGCATCCCCGGAGACAACAAGCAAGGCTATGCGCCGAACCGATATGGAAACCAGGGTGGATATGGATCGGATCGCTTCGGGGGCAGCACCAACAGTGGAGCGTCGCCAGCAGCCTCCCGGTACGGCCCCGGCGGCTACGGAGGGCTAGGCAGCACCGACCCCAACGACGCCGCAGCCGCGGATGCCAACAGAGATGCTCTTTTTGGAGGCGCACGGGAACGAGCAGAGCAGCAGCAGCCGCAGGCCGGCGGTCCCCCGCCGCCTTACTCGGAGGGCGGTGCGGCCTACGGCGGCGGCAGTAACGACTACAACACATCGACCTACCAGGAACGGCATCTGACCGCGGAGGAAGAGGAAGAGGAGGAGATCCAGACCATCAAGCAGGACATCCGGTTCATCAAGCAGGGGGATGTGGCGTCGACCCGCAACGCCCTCCGCATTGCGGCGCAGGCGGAGGAGACCGGTCGGGAGACGCTGGCTCGGTTGGGCGCGCAGGGCGAACGCATCCACGATGCGGAGCGGAGCTTGGACGTCGCCACCATCGAGGGCCGGATCGCCGAGGAGAAGGCCAAGGAGCTCAAAACCCTCAACAAGAGCATGTTTGCGGTCCACGTCTCCAACCCCTTCACCAGTGCCCGGCGGCGGCGCGAGCGCGACGAGCGGGTCCTGGACACCCACCGGCAGGAGCGGGAGACCCGCGACGGCACGCGGAACGAGGCCTTCAAGACCAACCAGCGGATGGAGCGCACGTTCCGGGAGATCGACCGCGAGGCGAGCAAGCAGACCACGCGCGGCCGGACCAACGTCGCCGACCGTGCCAAGTACCAGTTCGAGGCGGATAGTGAGGACGAGGCGATGGAGAACGAGATCGAGCAGAACTTGGATCTGCTTGGCGGTGCCGCAAGCCGTCTGAACGGTCTCGCCAAAGCCACAGGTCGGGAGCTGGACGAGCAGAACCGTCACTTGGAACGTATCACGGGCAAGGTGAGAGAGGAACTCTGGCTTATGGACTATTTGAACTTGTTGCTAACAACTTCTCTAGAGCGATTTCGTCGACGAGCAGATCGCCATGAACCGCGCCAAGCTGGACCGGATCCGTTAGACATACCCCATAATAAACGTTTTGTTGACTGCCTGGCGCTGTCGAATCTTTTCTCCTTTTCAAATGCACATATCCCATCTGCTCGGCGTTCCTGGGTATACTTCATTCGTACTTCATGAAACACTACATTTGATACTATTAAAATACTGCAGAGTATTGCTTGGTTTGGCGGGAGGAAGTAATTTTCAATATAATAGACTTCTGTGCTTTGCTAGCAGCCTATCCTCTCAACTTTGGCAGAGTAAGAACGACTATCCTTAACTCTGTAGCTCAGCCATACACAAGGTACACATATACTGTATACACCACTGAACCGACCATCTATCATGCAACCCCATTGCAAATCTCAAACTGGAACAATCCCAGAACGCCCCGAATCGGGCACACCCGACCCTTGTACCCAATTTCCCTCATTAATCAATCTTATACACGAGCCTCCCTCGACGCGTCAACCAGGCAATCTCAATCTGAAACACCACCACCTGCGAGATTTAATCTCAAGCCGAGAACGTCTAACGCCCGCCCCAATATATGTTATATCGAAGACAGTCCCACTCTCAATTCCCACATGTTTCATACCCTTTTCCAGCCCCGATCACCAAGTACAGTAGTAAGATCGGAGGATCATTTCCACACCCCCAACGGTTTTTGTCTTACATAGTACTTCAATGCTCTCCACTCTTAATGATTCTGATGGTGTAACCGTGCCTCGATCTCAGAGTTGTAGCCAGATACTCTACGTCCTCTTCCGCTCTAGTAAGCAGTGATATTAGCGATGGAGCCAAGACTACGTCAGCATCTTCGGTTCGACGATTTACTCTCAGGATGGATTGTCTTAGAGCAATAACGGTTCGCGTCTGGACTGTGTATAAGTTACTGTGTAGACCGTGTCTCAGATGTCATGTATGTCATACATGTCAGAGACTGTCAAAGGATGAGCTTTCCTTTTTCTGGATCTATGGGTTGGGATTTGCTCAACGGGGAAAGGGAAAAGTGGCTTCTCTTGTTTCAGGGTGGGTCAAACAAAAACACACCGTTTTCTGCTTTGGATGAAGCAGATTCGTCTCGAGGGTGGCAGATCAAAGATGGTTAGTGCTCTCTGGTTGGTTTCAGGGTTGCGGGAATGGTAAGTGTCTAGATGGACGAGTGGCTCGGACAAGGAAATATGAAGTTTGTCTTGGTTGAAGATGTAAAGATAGGGTTAGTCCACTCCTTTTTCGGGGATCTTGCACTCAGCATACCTGTGATAACGGCCTTATTCGTGGTCTCCTCCATATGACACTAGTGTCTTTTTATGGGTAGATGATTTGTCAGAGTATGATAAATGTGGAAAATGGTCCATGGTGCAGGGATTGGGGACAGATGAAAAAGACATTGAATAGCATTTGGATGAACTCTCGAGGTGGGTCTTCGCAGCTGTTGGCTTTCAGTATCGTGTCTTTGGAGTTGAAGTGCTTGGGGTTGAAGTGCTTGTGAGGAAGTTCGTCCTGCTTCTGGAATAAGGTATCCGATATGTGCTTGGTGTGGTTTGTCTGCTACCTCACTGCAACCAGTCCAGCAATGATGAGCAATATCAAGAACGAGCGGCTTCGTGAACAAGCAGGATATTTCAATCTTCCTTCTCATGAGGTAAAAGTCAAGATGATGGCGAGTGTGGCATCCTGATACTCGGCAACCTTCCAAGCGCTTAGCAGCATATTGTCTCGACGAGAGGGAGCATGGACCAACACGACACCAGCTTTGAGATACTCAAGAAACCTTAAAAGAAATAGACCAGCAAATGGGAGCATTCTGCCTGGCCAACACTGCAAATCAGGAGCGCATGTCTGCGGTGCGGCGCTTAATCGAAACCTTGCGGGTTCTATCTCCATCTCATTCGACCTTGGCTTCGCTTCTATACCATCTCATGCACTTGACTCGCAAGGCTTTTGCCGTTGTCTTCTTTTGTGGCACAGTTGAGAGCGTGCTGGAGTTACTGATAAGGAGCTGTGCCCTGCTGAAGGATCAGTATCAGTGATGCGGCATCGCTGGTAGTTGTAGATGTTGGATAGCTTCTCCATCCTCATGCCTTCTGCTTCGCCTCCACATGTCTAAATCTGGCGAGGCATACTGAGGATGCCAACCTGGCATGCGATTCTGCACTGATGCAGGGGCAAGAGAGGGGGAGAGGTCAGCTGCTGTGGGAGATGAATATTGGCACATCCACTGTTGAGGAATAACATAATAAGAGTAACACTTTCCTTCCGACTCGTTGGTATCATCTCAACTCATCTCATCTCTCAGGTCCAACATCTCTACCATCCCCTCTACACCACCATCTACAACCAAACTCAATCCAAAGACATCACCATCGTCCAGGAGACGAGACCACCAAGATGCGCCTCCACCACATCGTCCTCAACACCCTCTTCATCCTCCTCTCCATCCTCTCCATCACCACCGCAGCCCCCCTCCCCTCCCCTCCCACCACAGCAACAGAAACCGAAACCGAAATCGAACATCACCCACCGAATGCCGTCCACCTAGCGACCAGCTTCATCTCCCTCTCCCACGCCCTCTCCTCGCAGCGCCTAGCCCAATGTCCCCTCGACGTCGTCTCCATCAACCAAACCACCAGCAGACGCTCGACAGCCATCCCAAAGCTCGGAGACGAGGCAGCAGCAACACCACCACCTCACCTCAGTCCCCCCTCCGCCCACCTCTCCCTCAAGTTCATCGCCCTAGGCCGCGGCACGCAGAACTACACCTGCCCGTCCACGAACTCATCCACAGCGCCCACCGCCACCGGCGCCGTCGCCACGCTCTACGACGTCTCCTGCATCGCCGCAACCCCGAAGAATCACGGACACCAATTCCTCCACGCCCTCCCGGGACTCACCCGGTCCATCCCGCAGGAAGTCCTGGCCTTCTACGCCGTGCTGCTGTCCCAGTCCGCGATCATCGGGGAGCATTACTTCTCTGCCCCCCAACCTTCTTCCACCTCGATAGCAGCAGCAGCAGCAATGCCCGTCTTCGATCTCCGCCCCGCGACTTTCGGAAAACAGGGCGGAAGATATGAGTCCAACTGGGTCAAGGCCAAAAAGGTGGAGAGTGTGAATGCCCCCCGGGGCGGGGATGGAGATGTGCCTTGGTTGAAGATGGTTGGGGTGGAGGGATCTGGTATCAAGGTCCGTTCTTTTTTCTCTGATGCTACCATGGAATAATGGGTGTATATGTGACAGGGGCTAAGAATCGTATGCTGACTGAGCGCAAATTGCCCTTCTGCAGGAGATCTACCGTGTCCACACAGCTGGAGGAACGAGTCCGGCGACGTGCGCGGCGCACGAGGGGGAGTTTGGGGTGGAGTATGCGGCGGAGTATTGGTTTTATGGATGAGGGTTCTTCTGATTCTGTGGTTTGATTTGCCTGAAGTGACAGCCTTTCTCCCTAGCGTTTCGGTATTTCTTATTCTGTGCTTGGATGTTAACCGATGTCATCGGATGGGTGGATGAGAGGTATGCCCAGGTTTAGATGCATGAGGCATGGTGAATGTGAATGGGAAACGAAGGATATGATACAATGATTTGATGCGTTGTCACTATTTGCTGAGAATAGAGATGGGGAATTACTGCTCTAACATCACAAATCCAATCCGTATCTGCTAGTTGGAAGCAATGATATCGAGATGATGGAACCGGTTCGAAGCGAATAGGCCTTCTGCAACATTCTCCTATCAGAGAGTCAATGCCATGCATTAGATAGGTGCATGCAACACTTGCACCCCAGTCATAAGGCGATGCAATTGAGCAGTAGATTCGGATACTTAGGTAATTGCCATTAACACCCTCTGCCTGTCCGTGCTGCAGATATCAGGCCATGTGCAGAAAGATCGTGAGCCGGGTTGCATACCCCGATAGGCAAAATAGGCAGGATAGACCGTGAGAGTCCCAAAGTAAGGTATATGGGAAGGGATCCTCCAACAAGAATCCTATCAATACTCTTTCAGTCTAAACAACCCTAAGAAACCGGATAAATGAGGTTGCAGACAGCCCTTTGTGATATCTCTGTAGTATAGATATCCAATCCATAAGACTGTCTACCCGATTCTCCCTCGGTGCAAATGAGCATATAAGCTCCAAGTGTCCAAAGCAACTGCCTCTCCTTGTAAGAAGCTTCAGCGCAGGGTCCAGAGTTCAGCATAAGAAAGGTGGAGTCCAGCAAGTTCGAACTTACCCGTAGCAAAAGAGCCCTTAAGACTACACTCCAGCTGGCTCTGACTCTGGCTCTGGCGGTGAAAAGCCAGATCATGTACAAAAGGCCATCAACTTCCAAAGAGAATCCAGGTATTGTGTTTCATTTACCTATCTGGAAAAAGTGTAATTGTCTCCTAAACCATCCTTCCGTCCTTCTCTAGAGTTTTATTGCTTTGCATAAAGCGCCATACTCATAGACGAGTACAATCAATATATACCTCGCGTAGCGAATGAACATTGGCCTAGATATTGAATTAGAGGTACTCCAGTTGATAAACCTCCATCTACATATTATATCTTCAGTATGTAACCGATTATCCAAGTTCTAGTATATGTTGTCGATAAGCCTCGAACTACAGAGAACCCTATTGTCCGACATAGTCCATGGGCTACTACTAGCTACAGTACCACCTCTGCTGGCAGCCAGCTATTCCGCTTTTCCCATTCTCTAATCAACCAAACTATCATGATCCAAATGTATGACCCAAACCTAACTCCATATTTTCCCTACCTGGGTACCTCCCCTACTCCAACCCCATCCAACCTCCAAAATAGCAACAATGCTATTGAAGATGACGATGATAACAGTCCAGGCGGATGAGGTAATAATTGTACGAATAAGTTAACTGTCTTTCACCAAAAAACCGCAACTGCAGTGACTTCATTCCCCCCCAGTTGGTGTCAAGCAAAAGCCGCGTAAGCCGGACTCCATCCGCCCCCATTGTTCAATGTAGGTGGTCTTGGCGTGCGTCGCAACGGTCGGTTCTGATTCGATGTCAGATCAAGTGGGGAATGGAGTGTGAGGGACCCCCAGGTTCCCGAGTTCAAGAGAGAGAGAAAAAAAAAAAAAACGTCCCGTTTTACATCCCACCCCCCTTTCGGATATAATGTATACTTAGAAACTTGGTATGCGGGTTGTTCTACTACTCAGTACTACCGTCGCGGTGGCGGAATACCGGGTTGCTACTGTCCTTGCTTGGGTGACTTGTTTTACTGAAGGGGGAGCGGCGGTGTTGGGGTTCCGTGGGTTCACATTTGGTTATTGTATATACTTGCATCTACTCATACATTTTTATATGCGTGGTGGTGGTGGATGTACGGGTGGCAGTAAGGATTAATCGGGGGTTTATTGGTAGAGTTGATGATGATGATGATGATGATGACATTCAGTTGCATTTGCATCATACAAAGAACAAACGCAAATTGCAGACTATGTGCCATACTGATTGATAGCTAGACGCCCCTTACCACATGATCCAAAACAGAAACCCTTGAAGATCACCTCCAGGCTCCAACGTCTATACACAAGACCAAGCATTAGGCTCGGAGTAATCATCTGCAACGACTATAGCACACAGATGAAACACCACGAATGTCGTGCTCGCGATCCCGAGGGACTTCGCAAGCAGCATTACGACGCTCAATCTCTCAACCGCCGCGGGCGATGATGAGCTTAGTACCACTGCCAGATCCGAGGGACATGTGAAGGGAGGAAGGAAGGAAGGAAGGAAGGAAGGAAGGAAGTCTCAGGAAGAAAAGTCCAGGTGGTAAAAGGTGGTAGGTATACCGAACTTCCACTGCTTTGTTGTTGTCGCGGTACTAATTATAATTGGATATATGGTTGATCCATGTCACTCCGAACTGTAGGCGAAAGAGGGGTGGTGGATCGGAGACTCGGAAATGCAGGGAAGCCCATCTACCTCCCTTATCTGGACTAAATCGTTCAGATCGTTCATTTAGTTCCCGTGTCTTGTCTGTATTCATGCACTGTATATCCAACACGCGGGTGTCGGGGGGGGGAGGGGAACTTATGACGTTGCGGTGGTAGTAGCTTCCCGTTTCCCAGCGAAGTCCAAATGCAGGGTCTACCAGAATAAGAGAATGAGGAATTTATTTAGATTGTACTCCGTAGAAAAGAGGAGTATACCCGTTCTTTCGCCCTCAGATAAATTGCTTTGACGCATTGATCCAGCGCTAGTGATTTCCGAGGAAGTAAGTGACGTGAGTAAGTGCGAGTGAGATGACTGAGTAGCTGTGAATCTCAACTGATTCTACTGGACTGAACTCAACTCCGATCGGATCTACTAGGTACAGTATCATCCCACCGTCGCCTAATCAAGCCACGCAATCAACAAACAGCCATCCATCAGATAACACCTCCAATCCCTGATGTTGAAGCGGATGATGATGTAGGGAGCAGAGAACAATGACCAACTGCAAACCACATCACTAAATAAGCTGACATATGCCAAGGCCGGACCATCTCCACTTTCTGCACACTAGGTTTGTTTTCCCGCCCACCGGAGTTCTCACGGGAGTCCTGGAGTCCTGAGGCTTGCCGGCGCAGGAAGCTTGGTACTCCAGCGGTTTTTTTGGTGTGTTTTCAGGGTCCTTGGTTCCGCGGCTGTTGACCGTTCCTGACTGGGTTGGCCATGTCTTACTTGTCTGTCTCAGGGTAGAACACCCCGTCGTCCAAACTTACGCGTCACAAGAGCAGGGTGGTGATGATGATGATGATGATGATGAGGGTGGCCAGTGAGCACGGAGTTGTTGTCAGGGCCTGAATTGCCGGACGGAAAACTGACTGACGCACAGACAGACAGACAGAGCTGAAGAGTGAACCTGCCAGGGATGTCTGCGCTTGGCTTGGAAGTCTTGGTTAATGTGCCATTGTGCCTCGTCCCTTTCCCTCTTCCCTTCTCCCCCACTATTCTCCTTTAGTCCCCTGACGGTCTCTCAGTCCACCTCACGCCAGAGGATCAGTAGATTCTCAGTACCACAAACAGTCTGGACTCGAGACTGTCGATGAGTGAGAGGGGGGAAATCTACCTGCCTATTCTAGGCCTCCGTCGATTGTTCAGCCCCTTTCGAAAATCGAGAACGATTGTAACACTACATACACTACGAGGGGGGGAATGAATCTGGAATTTCCCATAGTGACCTCTTGCTCTCGCTCTCAGGGCTCTCTCCTCCAACAACCCAAACTAGAAAAGAGCCAAGTGTTCGTGCAACCTTTTCAGTTGCCTCGTCTCCTTTCAGGGCTCTCGTTTTCTCCCCCCTTAAGCCGAAGTGAGATACTACCTTCCTATACAAGTGTAGAAGCCAGGCTTCTAGGAAGAATCATCTGCCCGTCCAAACCCAAAGAATCACTCCAACATGACAACTTAACCCGCCCGCCCGCTTCCCATTTCCGCAGGTGATATCATGGGCTGGAACTTTTACCCCCCCCCCCCGTGTGTCTCCCCAAAGTTCCCAGCCAACCAACCG